GTTTCTGGTGGCCTCGAATGGTACTGGACGAGCTGATTGACTCAGCGCGGGAGGACTCCCCACTGTCGGCATCCTGAGGTTCCTTGCGAGCGGCTAGGATCTGCTCATCGTCCCATGAGTCGTCATAGTCCTCTAGTGGACGATAGAAAGGAGCGAGTTTGCGGTCGACGATGAGCTGAGTAACGACGGCCTGGTTCCAATCACGGGGGCCCGTGTAGATGCCCTGAGGGGTGAGATAGCCAAAATCGACCATCTCCTCATGGTGGCCGCGGCCTGAAGAGGCACTGTTTCCCATGGCGGCGGAGAGAGAACGCGGAAGAGGGGGGGCGGTGTGGACGTCGAGGAGAAGAGGCAGACGCTGCACTCGCAGGAGACCGCCGGATGCAGGCTGTCGTCACAGCGGTCCAGATGTGACACACTGGCGGGAGGGACCTCTCTCGGCTATCCCCGTCGTATGTACGCTCGTTCAACCGTCTCGAGGGCACTTGTCCGCCTCCTTTGCTAGCATCGCGTCCACATCGTGTTCAGAATCACACAGACAAGGCTTGCAAGGCCAGCCATGAACCGGCTGTTTGTGAGGCTACACTTTCAATGTAACTCTGTTTCACGGATGTTTTGGCGCTTGAAAACGACTCCGTCGGACTTCCATGATGACCGCTCGTTCAGAACATCTGTCGGCCGACATGCGACGAGTCGCAGTCACTGTGCTGATGGTGCTTCTTGAACGACGCGAAAGCTCGAGATGTACGCTCCTCTTCACGCACATGCGAAACCTACTCTACGCACCAGGAGCAAGCAACAAGAAATCAAAGTTGCGTGTATCCAAAGACACGCTTCGAGCTCGCACGGCTTTCTGAAGCCTATGGGCGCTTCACACTGCTTGACCGTCGAACGCACTGCTTGACCTCTCAGCGTTGGTGTATTTTACACACGAGCTGTCCAGGCCATGTCAGGTGGTCTACAAAAATGTTTTGAACGCGTTCCCAAGCACACGAAAAACAGAGCTCTCGAGGAGGTTACTTTACCACGTCGGGGACAGCCCGAGAAACCGGAGCAGGGGACCGGAGGGAACGGCCACGTCACCTTTGCGCGTCGGGGTTGCATTTATACTCGAGCGCTTTTATATGTAGCCGAGCAGCTTCTCCAGAAATCCAGACCGCATACCCACTCAAGTTCTCCGTAACCGTACTCTACTATTACCACCTCCACTCCTTCATCGCTCGCTCGCTCGCTGCTAGCTTGCTTGCACATCGAGCTCAGGCCTTGTAGACATGGACGCTCCATGGACCAAGACTGGGGAGGAAGTGCTGCAGTACTACAACGTCGACACCACTAAAGGTCTGTCGTCGGAGGCTGCTGCTAAACATGCTGAACTGTACGGGAAGAACGGTGCGTAACTACTCTGCACTCCTTTGGCGAATGCTCATGGTATGTATGATACAGAACTACCGGAGGATCCTCCAACCCCATTATGGGAGCTCATTCTTGAGCAGTTCAAGGATCAACTCGTCCTCATCCTCCTCGCATCCGCTGTAGTCTCTTTCGTCCTTGCATTGTTTGAAGATTCCGAGGGCTCGAGTTGGTGGAGTGCGTTCGTCGAGCCTCTAGTCATTCTCCTCATTCTCGTCGCAAATGCGACCGTCGGTGTCATCCAGGAAACTAACGCGGAGAAGGCTATTGACGTCAGTGGACTATTCACCACTACCACGCGTTCGCAACGAGACTGACCCTTCCTTAGGCTCTCAAGGAGTACTCGCCCGACGAAGCAAAGGTCCTTCGCGATGGCCAGTGGACTCGCATCCACGCAACTGAACTCGTTCCCGGCGATATCATCTCCATTGCAGTCGGTGACAAGGTCCCCGCTGACTGCAGGCTGCTTTCCGTGGCTTCCACGAGCCTTCGCGTTGACCAAGCAATCCTCACTGGCGAAAGTACCAGTGTTGGTAAGACGGTGGACGCCGTTCCCGACCCTCGTGCGGTAAAGCAGGACATGACCAACATTCTATTTTCCGTGAGTATCGCCCTACGTGTCCGCTCCCACAATAGCCGCTTAATACCAGGAACGTTCGCAGGGAACTACGGTCGTGAACGGCAAAGGAACCGCCGTGGTAGTGTTCACCGGGCAGAAGACGGCTATCGGCGACATCCACAAGTCAATCTCGTCGCAGATCAGCGAGAAGACTCCGCTGAAGAAGAAGCTCGACGACTTCGGTGATATGCTCGCGAAAGTCATCACGGTCATCTGCATCCTCGTCTGGCTCGTTAATGTCCGCCACTTTTGGGACCCAGCGCACCACGGTGTGCTCAAGGGCGCGGTCTACTACTTTAAGATCGCTGTCGCGCTTGCTGTGGCCGCTATCCCTGAGGGTCTTGCTGCTGTGATCACCGCATGTCTCGCGCTTGGAACGAAGAAGATGGCTCAGAAGAACGCCATCGTCCGTAACCTCCCCAGTGTTGAGACTCTTGGTTGCACGAACGTCATCTGCTCTGACAAGACCGGCACACTCACCACCAACCAGATGAGCGTCTCGAAGGTCAGCATGGCTTCATGCATATTTGCTCGAACGTCGTTGACGCCTCTCTGCAGTTCTTAGTTGTCGACATATCAGGTACCCCGAGGGAGTTCCTCGTGGAGGGCACTACCTTCGCACCTGAAGGGTCGGTCCGCCCTGCTGATGGTAAAGCGATCACTGAAGTGCCCGCAGAGCCGTTAAAGCGCTTGGCTGAGATCAGTGCTGTCTGCAACGACTCGAAGATCATTTACCACTCTGTGAGCCTTACTCCGTCTATCAATGATCTACCCGAGCTGACTAGCGTATAGGAGAAGAAGTCCTACTCCAACCTCGGCGAACCCACTGAGGCGGCATTGAAGGTCCTTGCGGAGAAGCTTCCTTGCCCCGACCCGGAGCTCGCGAAGAACTTGCCATACCTCGACCCCGCGACCCGCGCCAACGCGGTGAACGAGTTCTATGAGCGGACCACCCCTCGTCTATTGACCTTCGAGTTCTCCCGTGACCGCAAGATGATGTCCGTCCTCGCACAGAAGAACGGCTCCGGTATCCTCCTCGCTAAGGGCGCGCCCGAGTCTATTCTCGAACGCTGCACGTCCGTGCTCGTCAACGGCCGCACCATTCCTCTTATCCCGCAGCTCCGCGACGCGCTCCTCCAGAGCACCATCGCGTACGGCTCTCAGGGCCTCCGGACGCTCGCGCTCGCCTACGCTGAGAACCAGCCTCTCGACCCCGAGTACTACAAGTCCGAGACGACGGCCGGCTACTCACGCTTCGAGAAGGACCTCACCTTCGTCTCGCTCGTCGGCATGCTCGACCCTCCCCGTCCCGAAGTGCGCAACGCCGTGGCACAGTGTCAGGCTGCGGGTATCCGCGTCATCTGCATCACGGGTGACAACAAGGGTACGGCGGAGACGATTTGCAGGCAGATTGGCATCTTTGGCGAGGACGAAGATCTGACGGGCAAGAGCTACACTGGGCGCGAGCTGGACGAGCTCAGCCCTGAGGAGAAGCTCAAGGCTGTCATGCGCGCCAACCTCTTCAGTCGTACTGAGCCTTCGCACAAGAGCATGCTGGTCGACCTACTTCAAAGCCAGGGTCTGGTTGTCGCAATGGTAAGTCGACTGTGATCACATGTTGTGTGCGTAGGCTGACCTGCTTTCAAGACTGGCGATGGCGTGAATGATGCACCTGCGCTCAAGAAAGCAGACATCGGCGTTGCAATGGGCAGTGGAACGGACGTTGCGAAGTTGGCTGCCGACATGGTCCTCACCGACTCTAACTTCGCCACAATCGAACAAGCCGTGGAAGAGGGTCGCTTGATCTACAACAACACGAAGCAGTTCATCCGCTACCTCAGTGAGTTATACCGTGTCTTCTCCACAAAGCCGAACTAATTTTGACATTCCACAGTTTCTTCGAACATTGGCGAGGTCGTCAGCATCTTCCTGACTGTCCTGCTCGGCATGCCCGAGGCGTTGATTCCGGTGCAGCTTCTCTGGGTGAACCTGGTCACTGACAGCCTGCCCGCGACTGCGCTCGGCTTCAATCCGCCCGACCACAGCATCATGCGCGTCCCGCCGCGGGACAGCCGTGAGCCGATCGTCACGAAATGGCTCTTCTTCCGCTACATGATTATCGGCATCTACGTCGGTGTGGCGACTGTCGCGGGATACGCATGGTGGTTCATGTTCTACACTGGTGGTCCCCAGATTTCGTTCTACCAGCTGGTAAGTCCACGCACTCATTCTTGTCCAGACGTTTCGGAGATTGACTGTTGTCGCTTGCAGACGCACTTCCACCAATGCTCGACGCTGTTCCCCGAGATCGGCTGTGAGATGTTCACGAACGAGATGGCGAAGCGCGCGACGACCATGAGTCTCTCGATCCTCGTCACCGTCGAGATGTTCAACGCGATGAACTCGCTCTCCGAGAACGAGAGTCTGTTCAGGCTACCCATCTGGAAGAACCCCTTCCTCGTGGGCGCGATCGCGTTGAGCATGGCACTCCACGTTGCCATCCTCTACATTCCCGTCTTCACTGTAAGTGTTGCTCCAGAGCATATGGTGGATGAATGCTGACGCGCCGTTATCAGACGCTCTTCGCTATCACCCCTCTCAACTGGGACGAGTGGAAGGCTGTACTAATTCTGAGCGCGCCTGTGCTGCTCATCGATGAGGTCCTGAAGTTTATCTCCGTGAGTATACTTCCCGCTTTTGACCATGGGCCGCTACTCACTTGATGTGCGCTGCTGTAGGTAACATTCGTCGCACCACCCTCGAAGCTGAAGTCGGAGTAGGTGTTCTTGATAGAGATATATATTGGCACGTTAGGGAACCATTGTAATGACTTGTAATGACCGCAACACTTGCAATAGTAGAGCTCCCTCCTGAGCTGCACTTTCCACCGAAGGAGTTCGGATGACGACGTGGACACATGTGGGTGAGGAAGTAAGCGATCGTGGTCACACAGAAAGAGCCCCTTTCAACTTGCCCCGTGGCTGAGTTGGTTACAGCGTCCGACTGTTACCGGATCTGTAGTGATTCAGACATCGGAAGGTCGTGAGTTCGAGCCTCACCGGGGCAGCTCCCTTTTTGGCTCAAACTGATAGTGCGCAGGTCCAGCTTTCAAGACCACCCTAGTTGTGTTCAAGACGCAAGTGACATCCGCTGTCACCGCACTCTCTTGGGAGGAGTCAACCTGGGCCCGGCGGAGATTTCGAATTTGATGTAGGCTGTTGAGCAATCTGCGATTCCATGGGAGAACGGTGCGAACTAGACGATGATCGCTGAGAACAAGGCTTGATGAAACCCTGCTGGCAACGAACAGTGAATGTTGTCTGCTAGAGCACGGCAAAACAGGATCGGACCCCAGGTTTACCGGGCTAATTAGCGGCGAGGGAGATGGGGTACGGGAGAGACGAGATTAACCTATGTCAATTACGGTGATTTACAGGAGCGCTAATTAACCGTATTTTACCCGTAAAACTGCAGAACTACGCGTGATTTACGTTCCGTTCTTTGGACAAGGACGGATAGTAGACTTGGTTGCGCAGCTCGTGTGCGATACAGCGCAAACGCTCTCAGAAACGAACCCATCGCGCTACTCGTGACCGAGATCCCCCATCTTTGCGCCATCGCAGAGGTCTTCCAGTATCTTGTCTTGATCATGGGACATGTTCTCATCGTCGGAGCCCTCTGGCACCCAGGCAAATGAATTATGGTGTGTGCCAAGCGTGCAGTATCTCACCGCAAAACGTTTTGAATGGCCTATAACAGTGTGTATGTTGAGAAACTTCCGTCGCAGACCGGTAGCCTTATGGTGTTACTGATTAACCCTGATTAACCTCGAGATTTTAGGGCTGCGGGGACCTTGGTGTAAATCACGGTAAATCACGGTGAATTACATGTGTTAATTAGCCTGGTGTTAAATAGGCCGTCCTGTTTTGCCGTGCCCTATTGTCTGCGATGTAGCATGCATGCCTTACAGTCCTCTAGCCCTCGGGCATCGGGGGCTAATCACATCCGCACCGCTCGTTCGGTGATTGAAACGTTGAAACTGAGCTCTTGACGTCGACTCTAGCGCACTAGGCGGAGTGAACTTCTGAGGCAGGATCGCGCTCGCTGAGTAGGGGTCGGTCACCCAGTACGCAGTAGGCTGCAGCCCGCGGGCAGTGACAAGGCAATGACATCTTCTGTGCATTGTAGCGGCGCTACTGACCGGAACGTGTCCCCGCGCTCGCTGTACGTAGACTAGACCACGGACTCGGAACATGACTGTGATGACAGCTGCTTGCCAAATGCCAACGTCGGACACCATGCACGGTGCCGCCCGATCTTGCGCCCGATCCGAGATGGACGCAAACCGAAATGGCTAAGCTCACCAGGACGTGGTGCACCGACCGCAGCGACGCAGCCTCGTTCGAGCAGTCGCGCTGGCGAAATAGGCAAGCGTCCTGGTTCGAACGCGTTCGCGGTGGGTGCATGAGGCAGATGGCCCGCCTGCTCGCATGCCCATCGCGGGGCACGTTTCCCTGGTGAATGTCTGAGCCGATGTCCCGCCCGGCGTGATAACGCACTCGTCGCTCGCCTTTCAATTGTTCTCGTCCGGGCATGTGTCCGACGCTCCGAGCGCACGCACTCGAACAAGCCAGGACGATCGGCCGCGTGGTGTGCTTCGATGAATCCGCTACGGCGAAGGGGGTGCCACTCTGGGCACGGTGATGCAGCTGCCGCGGAATCGGGGTGCTAGCCTTGCATTTGAACCTGTACAGCAGCCAAGCTTGGTCAAGCGAGTGGGTGCATACGAACCGAGACTAGGACGAGGTGCTGGCAGCCAATTCGAAGTAAGTATTGGTATGTACATATACCGATCGGAGCATCGAGAACTCCCGCTGTGTTGGCATATCGTCGACTCGCTGATGCTTCGGAGGCCCGATCGCCTAAATACTGTATGTACTCGCAGTATTAGCACAGGCTCCATAGAAGAGCCCATCGGAATACGACACCGCGACGCCACCACCAGCACAAAGCACCGGGCAAGCCTCGATTCGGACACAGCAAGTTGATCTGTACGATCAGACAGACGGCGGCGGCGCGTCAGCAGAAGTTCTCGCCGGAAGGACGTTGACGCATCACAACCGTACCGTACACGACGGTGTTATCCGGACAAAGGCGACAGATCACAACAACAAGTGCACAATAAGTGAGTGCGTGCACAAGCGATCGAGGAGAAATACGCTCGCGGACGGGCGCCGGGGAGCGCGGAGGACCGGTAATCAACCCGTCTGGACCCTCCCCCTCCCAGCCCCTCCCCCCCACATCAATCCCGCATCTCGATTCCATCAAGTTCAGATCACAGGTGCTGACATTTCCATATGCGTCCGACGTCCGTCGATGGCCTTGAGATGCGATCACACAGCGTGTCGCGACGCCTCCGGTACTGTACTGGCCGTCCGTCAACGCGTCAAGCCTCAGATGATGACAGATCTGATACTGGGCTGTACGTACTGTACGTACGTTGCTTACGGACAGTGCTGCAGGTCAGTCAATATATGTATACGGGAGCTCGGCGTGCCGTGAGGCTGATGCGCGCCCACAACGCCATGTGGGGCAGGGGCCCGTCTCGGCGCGGAAGTGAAGTGAGCGTTCAGCGGGGGTTAGCATAGATTCCCCCTCCGTCTGCGCGACGACCTGAGCGCAGCGGAGGCCCAGACGAGGTCTACTTCGACTCGGCAGAGTGCTGGGTACGATCCAGCGCGTCGTTGATATCATATTCGTTGATTGCCATTCTCCTACTAGCCTGCGCCTTGCGTGAGTACGTAGGCAAGGCGAACCGAGCGCGGCTTCCTCGGTCGAGCAAACGAGCAAGGAGATTGAGAAAAGGCGAGTGAATACGCTTGCAAGGCCGTCTGTAGGTAATAGATGTGCGAGCACCTGCTCGCCTCACTACGGCATATCAAAGTGGTAACAGACAATATGATCGTGTTGCAGTAGATGCGAGGGTGTTACAATGTACATGATCCGGGGAACACATTAGGAGAAATAGCCAGCATCGAGACGAAACATGATGATATTCCGGGGGGAGATGCAACGCAAGCTCATGACTTGTCTCATGGGCGCAGGCGACGAACGCGAACGGATGGCGATGGTTACAGATCATGGCGCCCCTCCTCGGACCGCCATCCAAGGAGCCGAAGATGCACGCCCGTCATCAACACACCGGCTTCCAAGCCCAACCGAGCACGACCCTGCAGACCCAAGATAGAAGAAACGTCCGCGTGAACGCCGAACCCATGCACGCACACACGCACGCACGGCGCTCAGACCCTGAAGTCGCCGTCGTCGGCGGCGAGCACAGGCCCCGCCGACGCGGTCCGCGCGCGCGAATGCTTGTGCGGGTGGGCCGCGTGTTCCTCGGGAGGGACGACATCGAATCCGCTCCGACCGAGCTCCGAGGGCAGGATGGCCGTATCCTCGAGCGCCTCCTCCGCGAGCAGCGTCTGCGTCTCACCCTCGTCTTCGGTTGGCGCGGCGGGGACGTCCTCGGAACGCGGGCGCAGGAAGCTCGGGGGCCTGACGAGGCGATTGAACAGGAACTATCATTGAGAAGAAAAGGGTCAGAAGGGCGAAGGCAGAGAGCGGCGGCAAACAAGAGGCAACAAACTTACGGTTCCATATCTGCAAATCGAGTTGACAGCACGCATGAGTACGTCTGTAGCAATAGGCGTCCTGAAGGTTCTATGTGACTCACACGAGGAGGGCAAAGCCCGCAACTTGGAGAAGAGAGATTGGGAATACGAGCACTTCCCATCCCAGGCCAAGACTGACGATCCAAATGCTGAGTGTCCGGCAGGTGTCGGTCAAGCTGCGCGCGGTCGCGCTCACATGGCGCGTAACGCTGAGGCCGAAGAAGTTGAACAGCGCGATAGACAAGGCGATGACGACGCCAGACCACAAGACCGCAGGCGTGTCAATCATTTGGTGCCAGCCACGAGGAAGGTCGAAGAACGGCGAGACGGAGGAAAAGCGCGCGAGAAGCGGCATCGCGAGGACGATGCTCAGTGCGCCGAACAACCCCTCGTAGCCGACTGCAACCAACGGCGCGACGGAATAGCGGTTCAATATCTTCTCTACATGCGCAGCGTGGGAGTAGAGGTCAGGACGAGGCTGTATACAACACGAAGAGGCGGGTATTACACACCTTCAATAACAAATTGGGCAGCCGTGCTGCAATTTCAAGCACCGGCGGAGTGGGCGCACCGGCGAAGCGACGGTAAGCATGCATCATGCGAAGGCGAAAACATACCGCCCGAGAAGATAGAAAAAAAGACGTACAAGATCTGGGCAAAGAGGATGAAAAACACGCCTACGAATAACGTCAGATGACTTCGAAGTGGACTGCGCAGACGAAGAAAATACCGACCGACGAGGACCTTCGTGACTTCTGGCTCTTCGACAGGCTCCCCAGGAGGAAGTTCGTCGAGCATGTTTACTGCGGACTCTTTAACAGCATCCTTGACCAAAGAACCACTAAGGCCGACGAGTGACACTCCTGCCATAACGGTGATAAGGGATATCCATCTTTGGAACAAGAGTAAGTTACGCGTCCGAGAGCACATCACCCCATGGGTGGGCATATGCTGGAAGGGACAGCATGAGTGGGAAATGGGGCAGGACTCAACTGGTAAAGCCAGAGACGCCTCCGGAGGAAGATGACGGAGAGAATGCCGACAAACAGGACGAGGGCGCCCCGGGTCATCTGATAGATCGAGACGGGCGTGTAGAGGAGGCCGACGTTCATCAACTGTATACATGCATTGTGACGAAAGGGGGAAGAGGGCGTGCGAGGTTGATGAGCATGAGAACGGAGCGGCAGGAAAGGGTATGAGGAGCGCGTACCGTGGTGCCGGTAAGATCGCAGGCGGCGGGGAACCAGAGGAGGAAGACCTTCCAGCCGTGGAGATGCTGGAGGGGGATCTCGGCCTTTGCGCCGGCGGCAGGCTCTTCTTCGGAATCTGAAGGGAGGCGCAAGGGCTGGGACTGGCGTCTGGAGCGGGCCCAAGTGAAGATGACGGGAAGGAAGCC